GCTCGGGGCCTGAGACTGCATTTTGTTCCTTCTCTTTGTCATTTTCTACAGCACTGTCTTTTGATCTTTGGTGTAGAGCTTAGATAGAGTTATTACCTTAGCACCAGGTCCAGATCTACCAAGTTCACACTCATCCAAGTGGGTATGGCTTGAATCTGGTTGCTGTGCTCCACTTCTTCCTGTTGCAACCCTTGGAGGTGAACCCCCTGTGCCACTCTGGCAAGATGTTCTGTTTCTGAATCAGCTGGATGGGTCTTGCCTCTAGTCTCTTTGCAGGGAGTTCTGCTGAAGAGTTCCACACTGATCCTAGGCTATCGGTCAATTCAGGATCCGGCGAAATCCAGGTGGTCTCACTCACACACCGGGTCTGTGCTCTGGGTCAAATCAGGGATCATTTGAATAGTATGTTTCCTGTGAACTTTCGAGAGGTGTGAATTCTCAAACTCTATCCCCAATCTAACAAAGCAGAACCTCTGGATACAGGACGCAACTCCTAGTCTTGCTGAAGTTCAAGAGCCACTGCTTTACCCATCTCCTGAACAGGCTTTATTGCTGTTTCAGTTTCCCAGTGTCAACAGATGCCCCAGCCCTCTTCCTACAAGCCACACTGCCCTTCTGCTCCACTGACCCTTTTCCTGCTCATACAGTCTACCAAGTTCATACTGACTCCAACATCACAATATGTTTTAGATGTGTAATCCAAACCAGTCACCGAGGGGCTAGAGCACATCAGTGAAGGATCCTCAGAAGAGTTCCTGTAGATTTGTCTGGAAAGGATCTCTGTGGCAGTGTGACCCTCTGAAACTCTTCCCATTCCCTTAGCACCACGATATTGAAATGTGCACAAGGTCCCTGGCACTCCTTGCTGCCGACTACATCAAGCACAGGTGACTAGATGCACCCTGTGGCCTGTACCTGAGGTCTTGGGTGATGGCGGCAGCTGGTGGTGGACATTCTCCATAGTGGGGTACAGGTAGTAACTAAACAAGGTATCAGACATTTTCCATGCAACTGCACATTAGGTGCATCCTCAGAATGGAAGTGAGAATTTTATTTCAACTTGAACACATCATCTTCCTGAAGTAATATACCTCTGTGGTCTTCTGGCTTTTTTGTCCTCTAAGCAGCTCAAGATATATACAAGGACATCTGCTTATTCATATCAGGCTCCATACCTTGCTCCTTATGAGATAGGATGGTATTTCCTAATGGTCTGAAATCTGTATCCTCTTTTTAAAGAACAGTGTAATGAAGCCATGTACTCATATTCTCTTCTGACTTCTTGGTACTCTCTTTCTCCATCACCACTTCTTTTTCTAAGCAAGAATCACTGATATGAACAATCATTTTTAATTAAAACATTTTAGAGTTAAAATTCCATCACGATAAATGGCTTAAAGTCATCAAAAAATCACATCATACAATAAAAACAAGGGCTTCCCCCACACTCACTGACCTCCCCCAACCATGACCTCACCCTTCTGCTCCTGAAGTCACTCCTCTTATGCCTGTGTCATTTTTGTGCCTGGGTGTAATATGTCATTCCTTTTTCATACAATTAGATTACATCATATGGGCCTTCTGCATGCCTCTGAGTGGCATTTTGGTCATGGATGGTGTTGGACTAATTAGATGTGAACATTGTCCTACTTACTGTTTGGACAGGCACTACTTTGTTCCATGTTAGCTCTTTTAAAAAGCCCAACTATACACATAAGGAAAGAGAGGCCCAGGGCTATAGGTAATTTCTAAGGATTAAGGAGGCAGTTATAAATGGACTTGAATTTGTCTGCTCTTTCAGTGCCAACAAACCCCTTTTGTGACACCGATGGACTCTGGCTTCCTAACAGAGCCACATGGCCCGTAGCCAAGGCCTGCTGCCCGACAGTCATCTCAAAGTTCAGAGGTGGAGGAGAATATGAGCTCTTTACACATATTCTCTGAGCGGTATTAAGATCCAATGAATACAAAGTGCAAGAGCAAATGTTCTCTGAAAATGATTAATAAGACTATCACACCAACTGATCTATACACCCCATGAAGTCTCAGCTCTGGGCTAGGATTTCCGAGTGCACTTTATCCCCTGGGCTCATCTTCCTGTTTCTGTTTGTTCCCTTTTTCTGAGTTCTCTGAGGGCAGGCAGGTCTTCAGCAGCCTGAAGACCAAGTTTCGAGTCTCAGATTGTAAAGAAGGGTGAGTGAAAGTGAAAACTTGCGGGCCAGCCAGAAACCCAAATCTCAGGCTATGAAATCTGGCTTCTTAGCTTACCCTGCCCTCGGTCTCTCTGGGAACTAGACTTTAGAAGCAAACTTAGTCCAGGTCCATCAACTGGTACGTTCTTGCCAAACTCTAGCTGTAAACGAACCTTTGGGAGACAAGGTGAGAGGGAGGAAGGAGAGAAAGAAAGGGGAGGGGGAGGAAGAAAGGGAACCAGAGCGGGAGAAGGAGGGGAGACTGCAGCGGAGCATAGGTCCCCGCTGATAGGTGCTTTTGAACTCTGAGTGCAGAAAGTAGCCTTAGAAGCCAGTGTGAAAGTTTCCGAGGGAGACTCCCCATGAAACCTTTCCCCGGGAAACCAGTCCCCGGGAAACCGGTCCCCACGACCTTGCAGGTGACCTTGCCGTGGCTGCTGGCAGCAAGCTGCCCCGGGAGGCCGGCGGGGGCGGCGCCAGCCCCAGAACCTAGAGCGAGGTGCTGCAGTGGCCGCGGGGCGAGGAGACAGACAATGGGGAAGCTGACGGCGCTGACTCTGCTGGGGATAAGCCTGGCCTTGTTGGGGCAGAGGTTTGTGAGGATCAGGTAAGTGGCCCTCTCCAGGGGCCGTGCTCGGCTCTCTCCCGCGAGGGAGAAGGTGTGGCTGGGACCTTGCTCCAGCGGCCCGAACTGTTTCCGAGATCCACTTTCAGGGAGGGACAGCTGGGTGGCTGGTTACTTTCTTGGAACAAGGGTAGGGGTGGCCACCTCTTCTTTCGGAGGGTCACATCTGTCCCCCTCTCCAAGCTGCCTTCAACTTTCTGCTTGTGGAAACAACAGGAGCTTTGGAGGCGCTGGGCTCGCAGGAGGGGGACCAGGCTGCCCCTGAATGCTGGCCTAGTCAGCGACAAATACGGGCTACAGACCCCAAGCCGGAGGGAAGAGCAGGAAAGGAGCTGCAGTCTGCAGGTGGCAACTTGCATTTTGGAAGGACTTGACCTTTTCAGGTGGAAGATCCTGCGGTGAATCCTGAGCGTCCTAGCAGTGTCCCAGAAAAGTCAGCCCTGGGCTAGACAGAAGGACCTTGAGGAGGGGTAGACACTCCTGAGGCGGGCTGAAGTCTTCGTTTGCCTTCGCTGTCTCTGAGCTGTGTTCATTCCTTGCTCTGTCCCGGAGACTCCACGTCTAGAATCCTTTGAGCTCCCTGATGCCTGTTGGCAATCTCTCTAGTTCATCACGAAACTGATTATCGTTACATTTGCACCCAGTGAAACCAAGTGACGGGACCATAAAATAGTAAAAATAAGATTTATGGTTTGGGAGGGGCAGGTTTGGGCAGAGGGCCAACTGCGAAAGCATCCTGCCACTGAGAACCACCCACAGCCCTCCTGGGTGTTTTTATAAGTGATTGAAGGGTAAGTCCCAGCCTCTTGACTACAGTTTCATAAAACTTCTAAATTACACATAATATTTATAAGACTGTTTCATGGTACAAATAAGAACATTCACTGAAAAGTAAAATTCACCAATTGTTTAAATAGTGGTTAATGTAATGAATGTATGTGTTTGCAAAGTAGGTCAAAATATAAACATAATAAAGCAAAAGCTGCAGGATTTAGCTTTTCTAACACCCTGGAAATTTGGGGACGCAGTTATTTGAGGCAAGTCACAAAGCAAGATGACAGCAGTGAAGGGAAGAAATTCAGCTTTATGATTGGCTTTGCTTCAGAAAACTAAATAAAGTTCTTTGAGGAACTTAAATTCATTAAATTGTTTACTTATTTGTACTGTGAAAAGTGTCTTTCATCCGGACAGGAAAATATTTTGCACGTATAGTCCTTTCATGTTACAGTGTTTTAGCAACGAAAGTGAAGTCAGCTTATGCAAGTACTTCCTGCACATAGTGTGGACAATGAGGATAGAGTTAGCCAACATGGGCTCACTGAAGAGTGTGTTTAGATATTGATTATAATGTGATACCTTGAGCCCTGTGGTTCTTTTTTTTTTAATTTCTACAGAGAGAAAATGAATGCATCTCGAGAAGTAGAGCCAGTAGAGCCCCAGAATTGCCACCTTATTGAGGAACTCGGTACGTAGGTATCAGCGCCAAGAGGGGCCAGTATACCTTGTCCATTACCATCCACCTAACTGAACTGCGAAGTGGATCTCATGGCCTCTTGTCTTTGTGACCCTCCTGGGTGACTTTTGCCCTGTCCACTTCACTTGAGCTCTGCCACACAAGGTCTCCAGGAGTCTCCTGAAGGCTGGATCTCTGGCTCTTTCTCAGTCCATTTCCCTACATGTGTCCCCATCGTGAAGACTGGCATTGGCCGTCCCTTGGCCACTCCTTCCTTAACTTCTCCTCCTCTTTCATCCGTGATACTTCATCTCTTCCCTGTCTTCTGTTTCTTGTCTTCTTTTCTTTCTCTTTTTCCCCTTCTTTTCTTTCTTCCTTTTTTGCCCTTTTTACCACCCTCCCTTTTCTTGACAACATTGGTGGCTCCAAGTATTAATTCTTTTAACGGTTAGTGCAATATTATTGATTTTTTTTTAATGGAACCAGGGATTGAACTCAGACCCTTGCACTTGCCCGGGAAGCACTTATTCCACTGAGCCATCTCCCCGGCCAGTTAGTGCAATATTAAGAGGTATTTCATTTAGCTTTTACCCATCCAAACTTCACAGCCTACTTAGATTTTTATTTTTCATTTTTATCTATTTATTTATTTTATTTAGAAACAAATATCAGTGAGACACTTTCCAAGCTGATTTAATAGGACATTTTCAATAATTAATACATTGCACTTTATTATCTTCTCAGAGGTCATCCACAGCATAAAAAGCAGCCAGGACATCCCATCCAAACACTACTACTACAAATTCTTCCTCTCACTGAACCAAGGGAAAGCAGCCGTACATCTATCTTAACTATTCTGTATATACAAATACAAAATGGTCCTTCCTCTGTATCCCCCCTCTCCAGTTCAGTCCTGTCAGAGATGGGTATTCTATTGGCATCTAAATATTATAGGTGCTTGAATTCAGCAAAACAATCAAGCACAGCCCAGTAGTCCACAATAATAGTGGGTTGTCCACAGAAGTTGTTGACTAGAGCCTTTTACAGCTCAGCATATTAATATGGCTTTATTTCATATACCTCATTTTTATACTTTTCTGCTGGATGGTTAAGACCAAGATAAAGCAAGAACTATACAACAAGAAATCTAACTTTTGTATCGGATAAGGTCGGTCAAGTCCCCTCAGGATTTATCCTGTAACCCTGTACTGCACTTTGTAGATCCTCCCTCAGTGTCAGCCATGTGGATGAGTCATGGCCAATGCTTGACCAACCTACTTCGATTTTTAAAAAATGATCCAAAGTTTCGGTCAGTTTCCCAACTTTTCAAGCTTCAGTGCTTCTTTCCCCACCAGTTAAAGAGTAACTTTGTATTAGCTTAAGTCTGCTCTGTAACTCTGGTCATTTTGCCTCACAAGCCCTAACCTGCACCCAGCTGTCTTACACTCATCCTGTGTGTGGTTTCCCACCCACAAGAGGCTAATTCAAAACCCATAAGCAGTTCCTCTTGTCCTTCCTGCTTTGCCTGAGATTTTCAGGAGACCTCAGTCTCCTCTGTGTCCACTGCCCCCACCCCAGGGCTGACTTCACATAGGAGTCACTACCATACTGTTTACCTGGACTCCAAGCCTTCAACTCTTCCTGACATAGTTACCTGAAAAAAATAAAACAAAAATCAGGTGTGATTCTGTTCACTGTCCTAGCAATGTGTTCTAGGACTTTCTCCCCTCTGCTTATGAAATACTCTCCATGGAGCCCCCACTCTCTGAGGACTGACATCAGTCACTGCTCCTCTCCTTCCTCTAGACTCTCACAACTCTGTCAGGGTCTGGCTCGCCACACCACCTGCTCTGTGCTTTGTTCTGTAGTTAGCAGTGCGCTCTCTTTCACTCTGAGTGTACACACCCTAGCACTTAATACGATTCTGAGTTTCTTCTTAATGTATAACAGGAGACCTTTTCTGACAGGAATTTGTAACTTTTTCTTGCTGTATTTTTGAAACAAATGAAAAGGAGCTATTTGAATTTGGTCTTCTACTTCTCCAGCCCCTCTTCTTCTAAAAAGGAATAACTCAGACCTTGTGCTTCCTAGACTTGGAGGTAGTCTCTTCAGCCAGCTGGTATGCAGAAAGAATGGAACTCAACCTTCTTCCTGGCCTTCCTTTTTAAAAGCCTGAGTCTTCAAGGGCTTCTTATGGGAAGGAATAAGAACATATGGATTTCTTTAAATAGCAAGGAACCCATCCCCACTGTCTGCCAGCATTCTGTGGTATAGGGGACAGAGCCTCAGAAGAAAGCTTGCAGGTGAGCTTAGAGTCTGGACCTTGCAGCTTACACCAGGACCTCGTATGACACAGAAGTGGTGGAATTGTCAAAATCAAAGGGGCTGCACAGTCCTGGCAGTGGTAATTAAACCTTCTGCTTGACTTAAAGCCCTGTCAGCCAGTACCATTGTATAATCCTAACTGAAAGGCCCAGGGATGACTCAGATTGAAGCTGACTAAGAGTAGAAGGAAAAGCTAGCATGTTTTTTTCTTTTTGTCGAAATTCCATTTTATGTCTGAAGAGCCAAACAAGTTAACGTGGTCCTGGGTCATTTGTCAGCATGTGGAGAGGGACAGGTAGATCCGAGAAGGACAGAACTTGACTGGGAAAAATATAGGTTGTATGACATTTACTGACTTGCTTACTGTTTTGTGGGGTGATGTTCATACGTACTGCATGTGTATCTCCCATCAGCTGCAGGACAATCAGACACATAACTGCTAAAGCCTCTCAAGCTGCATAGCTCAGCTAAATTTGAGAAGCTAAAACTAGTGTTAATATTGCAAGTAGTTTAAGGAGAATAACAAATAATTGTAAGCTGGCTAGGAGCAGGAGGAAAAGCTACCATTTTTTTTCCATTGTCTATTGTCAGAATTCCATTTTCTGTCTGAAGAGCCAAACAAGTTACAGTGATCCTGGGTCATTTGTCGCTAAGACAATACTGACGTACATCTAAAAGGAAAACACCTCCTTGACAAAGGTGTGATATTGAGTCTCTTGCAACTCTGAAGTTATTCTTATGACTGATTGGTAAGGGGGGTGCTCTGCAGGTCGGTGAGTTGATCACAGAAAATGGAGCTGTTTGCTCACTGCTCCAGAACTAATGGGAGGCAAACCTAGATTAGGCAACACAGTGATTTTCTTCCAAGCTCTTGTACTCCCTGTTGTGTAACTCCACTTGTCTTATCTACTGACAATACATTTTTGTTGCAGAAACTTTGGCAGATAAGTATCATGACAGCAAAGAACACAACATGTAAGCAGCTAGAATATTGCTAAGTAAAGCCTTGTAAAAACAAGGCAGATTAGAGATTTAAGCAAAGACATCTCATGAGACGTTGCTCACGAGAC